TTGGCGTTGCGTAGAAGTTGTTTGACCTTGTTTTCGCAGCTTGGTCATATATTGGCAGGAAGGCCTAGAGAAACACACCCTATCCGGAGTCCATAGTATGCATGACCATTTTCAGAGTTGGACCATATAGTTGGTACATTCCCAGACGTTTCGCCGGCATCGTCAGTGAGTCTTGCCATTCTCAGCAAACCAAGCTACAAGTCGTCAAAGAGACAAGCGAAGTCAATCCCTTGACCAAACTTTCTGTCGAAACGGTTATGCTACCACTCCTCGTTTTGTCCTGGTCCCTCTATCCATTTCCTACCCTCGTCCTATCATAACTGCTGACGTGTTTATATTCCACAAGAGATGTGCCCTTTTTGCGAATTGACCGTGGCGTCATCACAACTGCTGCTTGCCTTACTCCCCTCCCTTTCGAATGGCTGATCCTGCTCTAGTCTCCTGTCCGGAGCTGTCCGTTTACTCGTCTTTCTGGTTCACCGATTTCACTAGGTCCCAGTCCCAGTGTAGGTTATTCGTAGATAGGTAGAGTTTCGAGACTACCATTGGATCAGTTAGATGAGATGTATTTATGCGAATAAATGTTGGCTTTCGAGAAATATTTTGTTTCATAATTGTTGAGCTTACTTCCATTTCGAGTGAAAGTGTTGGTTGAAGAGATTCGAAGATAAGTTCCGCAAGAAGACGACGACGGATTCCTCTTGACCAGCTGTCGATTGGCTTTACTGGAACATTCATGCTGGCGCTGTTTCCGAAGTAGTCTCCTTCGATTCCGGTGAAAAGGTGCTAAGCTTTTGTCCGTCATTTGATGAACATCATCAGAGCAAGGTATCATCTTCGCAACAAAATTTAAGCTAACGAGTCAGGGAGTTAGCAAGAAAAGTAAAACTACCTTCCTTCTCTAACTCGATGGCGAATTTCGTCTTCCCATCGATCCTGTTCATCAAGCCGAGAAAGTTGTCCAGGTCTTATTTTCCATGTTGCCAAATAGCAAAGTAGTAGTTGTTGTCATAATTCCCAGCATCAGACAGTAGACTTGGTACATTCTCAAACGTTTCCGTAGAACGTTTGTCGAGGGATTGACTTAACTTGTCTTTTTGACGAGTTCGTAGCTCTGTACGGAGAATGGCAGCACTAACAGATGATGCCGACTACGATGCCGGCGAAGAGCTTGAGAATGTACCAAGTCTACTGTCTGTTGCTGGGACTCATGACAACTACTATGGCAGACGACTTCGGACTAGGTGCGTTCTAATAAGTCGCCCTGACAACAAGAACAAGTTGCGACAACGAGGTCAATCCACTTCTAGAAATGGAAAGGAGACTGCGACCATACCAGAGGCCACAACATCTTGGTCTTCATATCTTATTTTCCATGTTGCCAAATAGCAAAGTATGCATCCATGCAGCGAACTGACAATTTAAGGACTAAAAGTGCCTCCTGAATTAAGCGTTTCTCAAATTGAGCAATGTAATTATTGGCTAAAATCGGTGACAAACACGATCCCACAGCTAAACCTCGTGTTTGTTCGTACAGTTCACTATTAAATGTAAATTATGTACTGTACATGGCTCTAAACTCTCCAGTGTTGGTATAGTGTGAACTGGAGAGCCAGTGTGGCATAATCTACACAAATGTTAGTGTTCAAAGACTCAAAATCAAAACTTGCCAGCAAATCCCCGCTTTCTACCACCTGCTCGCCGACGAATTCTTAACTGAAACCCTTAACGTCTCGGAGATTTGCTTTAACTAATTACAAATAAATTGTGATTTTTTATGCATCAAACTTATTTTATCATTCCCAATAATTCTTAATTGCACTTCATTCTTATGTATTTTGAGCAGACCATATGCATTTGGAGGTTTAACATCTCATTGAAGAAGCGTGCTCATCTTCCACTTCTCCAGTTCTCTGTTTGTTACTCAATGCTGCAGACAAATCCTGAGTCAAGAGTTAAGGTTTCTGTAAGATTCCTACTGATTATCTTGTATCACACATCAGTTTTGGGGGCTAGATAGGAAGTGAAGGATTGATCATTTGAGGCTTTAGACTAGGCTTGTTGAGCTGCTCAAACGAGATCGTAGGCGAGTCCTGAGCCTACAGGGACATTAAATTATGCATTCTTTCCCAATTCATTTTTCCCATTCCATGTGTTTCTTATCCTCGATAACA